ACATGTTCTGCTTCCATTTAAGCTGCAGTAATTGATTGTAGGTGATTGCAAACGGTCAACAATCAGTTAACAGTATTGTTGCAATCTTCTTGTGCGTAAGCAGAGCTAATTACAGAAATAAGGAAATAAACCAAGTTCATAATATGAATTTGATATGCTAAATTTGCTGCAAAGTGAGATCCTCCAAATCATATAGACATTGAGACGTATTCTTTAAAACTCGGATTTTACATTCAGGAAAAATGTCATTTTCGTTGTTTAACTTTAGATGCAAAGCGCTTAATCGGCAGGCGTTTTGAGGATGCCCCTGTACAATCTGACATGAAACACTGGCCGTTCAAGGTTATAAATGACGGCGGTAAACCCAAGGTGCAGGTTGAATACAAGGGCGAAACGAAAACTTTTACACCTGAAGAAATCAGCGCAATGGTGTTGACAAAAATGAAGGAGACTGCGGAAGCTTACCTTGGAAAGACCTGTAAAGATGCGGTCATTACGGTGCCGGCATACTTCAACGATTCGCAGCGACAGGCAACGAAAGATGCGGGTACGATTTCGGGGTTGAATGTGCTTCGTATCATTAACGAGCCTACTGCTGCTGCCATCGCATATGGTTTGGATAAAAAGGTAGACTTTTTGATATGAATACGCTTAAAATTTGAATTTGTTGAAATGGTCACTTAAATGATTGTAAATCGAATTTATAAAATCTTTATTTTGAAATTTTGCAGGGCACGGGTGAAAGAAACGTGTTGATATTCGATCTTGGCGGTGGCACCTTCGATGTTTCCATCCTGACAATCGAAGATGGTATATTTGAAGTAAAGTCAACGGCGGGCGATACACACTTGGGAGGCGAAGATTTCGACAACCGAATGGTGAATCATTTTGTAGCGGAGTTTAAGAGGAAACACAAGAAGGATATTTCGGGTAATCCACGTGCTCTGCGGCGTTTAAGGACTGCCTGTGAACGAGCCAAGAGAACTTTGTCCAGTTCTACACAGGCTAGGTGAGATGTTCCTGTTCTTTGCAATTAATGATTAAGTAATTTTATTTTTTTTCTAGCATTGAGATCGATAGCCTGTTCGAAGGAATAGACTTCTACACGACTATTACGAGAGCTAGGTTTGAAGAACTTAATGCTGACTTGTTCAATTCTACCTGTGAACCTGTGGAGAAGTCTCTGAGAGATGCCAAACTTGACAAATCTCAGATCCATGACGTAGTGCTTGTTGGCGGATCTACTCGTATTCCTAAGGTCCAGAAGTTGCTGCAGGACTTCTTCAATGGAAAAGAGCTGAACAAGAGCATAAACCCGGATGAAGCGGTGGCATATGGCGCTGGTGAGTGGGCATACATTTTGATGCAATAAATAATTAAATTAAAATTTTAGCTGTACAAGCGGCCATTCTGTCAGGCGAAAAACACGAAGCAGTGCAAGATCTTTTGCTCTTGGATGTTACTCCGCTGTCTCTTGGTATCGAAACTGCCGGCGGTGTCATGACTGCGTTGATCAAGCGTAATACAACCATACCAACCAAAGTATCGCAGGTATTCACAACCTACTCCGACAACCAACCTGGAGTTCTCATTCAAGTTTATGAAGGTGAAAGGGCTATGACAAAGGACAATGTAAGCAATATCTTCATTAGCTGTGAGTAAATTGATATCTTCATTTTTTAGAACCTGTTGGGTAAATTCGAACTAACTGGAATCCCACCTGCTCCGCGAGGTGTACCTCAAATTGAGGTTACATTCGATATCGATGCTAACGGTATATTGAATGTTGCTGCAGTTGATAAGAGTACTGGACGACAGAACAAGATCACCATTACAAATGACAAGGGTCGTCTAAGCAAAGATGAAATCGATCGTATGGTTAAGGAAGCAGATCAGTACAGACAAGAGGATGAAAAGCAGCGAGATCGTATACAGGCAAAAAACAACTTGGAAAGCTATGCTTTCAACATGAAATCTACGATCGAAGACGAAAAATTAAAGGTATTAAAACGAGGTTTAATTACTTGTCTACCTTGCTTGTAATATTTGTTTCAGGGCAAGATATCTGATAGTGATCGCGCTAAAATCACAGAGAAGTGCAACGAGATTGTCAAATGGTTGGATGCTAACCAGCTTGCTGAAAAAGAAGAATTCGAACATAAGCAAAAAGAGGTAGAAGAGATCTGCAATCCAATCATTACCAAGTTGTATCAGGTATAATAGGAGGTTCGCATTGATTCACTGCTAATTCATTGCATTTTTAAGGGAGGTGCTGGTGGCGTTCCTGGTGGTTTTCCGGGCGGTATGCCTGGTGGAAATATGCCAGGCGGTGCACCAGGAGGAGCTTCATCTGGCGGTGGCCCAACAATTGAAGAGGTTGATTAAAACTGGTTTAATTTTGCGGTCATATTTTAAATCTGACTTAAATGCGTCCGCTTTGGAAGTTCTGAACGATCATTGAAATAAACTTTAAATGCAAACTGCGTTCTTGTTTTTTACCGAATAATTTAATAGTGACAAGGACAAATTCCGCGAAGTAGTATGCAAGTGACAGCATAAAAATAAAGTTGTGTTAATGAAATGAGGTACCGTGCCTTGCGTTCTCTTCACTACCGAACAGGGTTTGAAGGTTTTATATGACGGTTGGACTTAGAAATGTATTTGTGAAAATTTGGCGAGGTTATGTTGCACTGCAGAAAGAAAGTTTAGTTTTTGTAATTAGTGTTCGTGCGGAAGTGCTAGTATGTTTCGTTCAATCGTCCGCTGAAAACCGTGGTAGAGTAGTGGGTTCCATTATACGGTGACGTGAAGATGGTATTGAAATTAAGAATGCTTCCAACTCTCATTTGTATGTCGTCTTTAAGAATAAAGAAATCACAAATCTGTGTTATTGTGCTGGCACCGTTGTATCATTTGCCTGGCATAAAAATTTGTTTTGCAATTAATTTATTTCATATTTAAATCATCATCATCTTCCATCGCCGCTTCTCCTTTCGGGTCGCGGAGGCAGACGCGTCAGACAGTGCTT